AAATAAAAAATAAGTATAGAAACCCGACTAGTTTGGTGTAACATACGCCGACTACAGACCCATATTGTAGACATAGCACAAATACTAGTACTATATATATATATATATATATATATATATATATAATCCTCCAATTGATTAATCTTGACCTTGACATGTACGGATATGCAAGAAAAAAAAAAGGAATTTCATGTCTTAAGATAATGCATCTTGTAACATATTATTTGGATCGTCGATCTTCAATTTTCTGAAGGGTTCATAGACCTGCTCAATTTGCAAAAAATTTGTAGCCTCAAAATTCATAATTGGGGTGAAAATAGTTTTTTATACCATCATAAGGGTTTTCGACATCCAAACTATATTTTTTGGCAGGATTTAGAGGTATGCCTTACTTTGATTGTCTAAGGTTGATGCCTCAGAGATGTGTGCGTGTGTGACTATGTGCCCAGGGGGTTGTTTAACCAATTTTATAGATGACCACATTCATCTCAAGAAACAAACTTATGACAATAAATCTGGAAAAAAAAAAAAAAGATTTTTATTGAGAGAAAAACTGCAATGCATATAGGTTGAATGCTTCAAGGAAGAAAAGAAAAAATCTTATCAAATCAAGGACCTAGGGGGGTTTTGTTTGACTCCAAATTTTGTAGATCTCTTCATCACCACCAAATGAAAAAAATTTAAAATTAGAAAAAATTATTTTGAGTTCTAAATGGATCATATTTAAAATGGATGCTTAGACCAAATTTTATCACTCTTACATAAATCCTATTTCAAGTATGTTTTCCTTTTCTCTTCAAGAAATCCTTCTTTTTATGATTATGTTACAACTATTCTCTAACCATCTTGTGGCATCAGAACATGTGTATGACTTTCATGTACGAGATTTCCTTGAGCTCCATGTGCGTAATTGCTCGTAATTTCTTATGAGCTTTATGCACCCTCTTGATGGAATTAGAAGTCTCCTAATCATCTATAAGATCAATAAAGAAGAAAACAGTGCATACAGTGTTTCAAAAAGCGGACCGCCTAGCGCCTGGGCGGCCACCTAGGAGGTTTTGAGGGCCTAGGCGCCTTAAAAAAGCAGTATACCCTAGGCGCCCAGGAAACCAGCTAGGTGGCCACCCAAGGCCTGCGCCCCGCCCAGAGGCGGAAAAAACACTCGATGCGAGGCATTTTTTGTTTTTTTTTAATATTAAGGGCTCAAAAATGTGGGTTTTAGGTTCATTTGAACCTAAAACTCATTAGAGCCCATTTTAGAAAGAGAAAGCCCTCAAAAAACTAGTTTTTGGTGATTTCTTTAGGCTCAAAGGGTTTCTCAAAGTTATGAGAAATTGATCAAAACATAGCCCATTGATATTAGATTTAATTTTTGATATTTAATAAATCTATTGGGTTTTTTTTTAGAAGATTTTGAGTCCTTAGAAGCATCTTTGGAAGTTTGGACATTGAGCAATCAAAGTAAGTGACTTTTTTTATTGCTTGTATAAGTTGTATTATTTTGAGATGTCTTCTACGAGATCTAATAGGAGTGGTGATCCCGGTTGGAAATATGGCCCAGATCCTAATGATAAAAATTGCATAAAATGCAAGTTTTGTGAGAAGGATACAAAAGGGGGTATAAACTGGTTCAAGAAACATCTTGCCGGTATCAGGGGGGATGTTGCCCCATGTAAAAAGGCTCCTAATGCTGTTAAATAGGAAATAACCAATTTTTTTAGTATGGTAAAAATGAAAAAAGATGAGAGATTTGCCTCTATAGCAAAAATTAGGTATGGGGTTCAGGTCAATTATGATGATGATGATAGTGATGAGGATCAGACTGGAGAGGGATGTCAAGAGGTAGAACAATACATTATTAGGGGGAAGGGAAAGGGAGTTGTAATTTCTTCAAGTTCTGGGAGTAAGAAGCCTCAGGTTAGAGCCCCTATGGATAGTTTTTTGCCTCAGCCTGACCCTAAGGTTGCAGGAGAGAAAACAAAGAAACAAACCACCATTGAAAATAGAATGAAAAAGGAAGAGAGAAAGAGCTACTTATTATATTGCTACATGGTTTTATGAGGCGAGCATTCTTTTTAATACCGCTCGCCTAAGCAGCTTCTATGCCGCGGTAGAAGCAATTGGCCAATTTGGGCCTGAGATGAAACTCCCAACCCCATATGAGCTTTCAGAGTCTCTTTTGAAAAACGCGGTGAGTGTCAGAAAGGAAACTGTAGAAGTTAAGAATGATTCATGGGCTCAGTATGGGGTTTCTATTATGACTAATGCTTGGAGTGATAGGAAGAGAAGAAGTCAGATGAATTTGCTTTTGAATTGTCCTTTAAGAACTGTTTTTTTTAGGTCCATTGATGCCTCTGATCATATCCATGACGCCCATTACATATTCCAAGTTATAGAGAAGGGAATCAAGGAGGTTGGGAAGCATCTTGCTATACAGGTTGTCACAAACCATGCTGCTCCTAATGTTGATGCAGCTAATTTGTTGCACATAGCTTATTCTAGAATATTTTGGACACCATGTGTAGCACATTGTATATACCTCATGCTTGAGGCTCTTGACGGTTTAACCGAGATATCAGGTGCAATAAAGAAGGCAAAGTCAGTTATAAATTTCATTTATAGCTACCATCTCACCCTCAGCATGATGAGTAGATTTATAAAGAAGAAAGAGATTGTGAAGCCTGAGGTCACGAGATTTGCGATCTGGTACTTATGCCTAGATAATATACATTCAAGGAGAGTGCAATTGAGGCAGATGTTTACCTCGGATGATTGGAGAGTATACAAGTAGTCCAAGGATCAGGTTGGGAAAAAGGCGAGAGATATTATCCTTTCTAAGGCTTTTTGACGAGGGGTGAAAAGCGCTCTTAAGGTATTTTTTCATCTTTTCAAAGTCCTTCGCATGGTTGATAGTGACAAGGCTTCTGTGGGCTACATATATGAGGCTATGGAGAAATGCAAAAGAGAGATAGTCCAAAATTTTAATGATGATGAGAACCGCTACAAGTCTGTTTGGGATTATTGATGAGAAGTGGGATAGGTAGCTACGTCGGCCAGTGAATGCAGCTGGTTGTTATTTGAATCCCATTTTTTTATGTTGACAAGGATATACACACAAATGACACAATTATGACTGAATTTAATAAGTGTGTAGATGTGTAAGTCTCGGTTCCTGATATCCAGGATATTATATGTGCTACTGAGCTGATAAATTACAAGTACTCATTAAAGCTTTTTGGGAGTCCAATGATGATGAGGCAAAAGACCAAAATTGATCCAGGTAGTAATAATATTCTTAAGTTCATCAAGTTCAACTGTTCAAGTAATCAAGTTTCATTTTTACAATTCTATTATTTATTTATGATTTTATTCTATATATTTGTAGCCGATTGGTGGAGCCAACAAGGGTGTAGTTCACCAAATTTACAAAAGTTGACCATTCGGATCTTAAACCTAACCACTTCCTCATCCGGTTGTGAGCGCAATTGGAGTACTTTTGAAGGGGTAAAGCTATAAGGGTAATTTGTATAATTGTATTAATAATATATGAACGATAGATTTTAATTAGTTTCATTTGATTTTGTTAAATTCATACAAAGAGAAGGAACATGTTTGCATCAAAGAGGCACAATAACCTAGTCTATGTCGAGTATAATCGATTCTTGAAGGACAAGTTTGCTAAAAGAGATAAGAGAGATCCCATCATATCAAACAATATGGGCAATGCTATGGAGTGGTTAGTTGATGATGATGAGGTCGAGGGGCATGAAGGATTGACATGGAACATGGTCATGGATGCTTCAGGGACATCAGCTGACCCTCCTAGGGGCATTAGATCTTCTGCACAAAGGACGAGGGTCGAGGAAGAGGAGGAAGAAGAGGCAGATTTAGAAGAGACGGAGGAGGAGGACCAATATGTTGAGGAGGGTGATGACTCCGATGAATATGATGCCAATGCAGCTGACCCTAATTTTTCTGATGATGAATGATGAATGTTGAATAATTATTAAACTTTGAACTTTGATTGAACTATTGAAGATTCTTTTGAGTCTTCAAGTATTACTTTTATTTTTGTTTTCTTCCTCTTGGTTGTGTATTGCGATGGATTTGTAGTTCTACTGGTTTGGTACTATTTGGCAACTTTGGTTTGCTAATTTGGTTGGTAAATTTTAAGTTTTAATTGGATAAAGACCGACTTATGGTTATGCTTATGGAGTGCGTGTAGTATACTTTGAATTCTGATGTACCCTAAATACTTAATTCTTATATTTTGTACAACATAAAACTGTAGAATCCTTTTTGGATTCAACTGGGCCACCCAGGTTCTGGGCGCCCTCCTAGTCGCAGGCAGCCTAGATCCCCCAGGCAGCCTAAGACCCGCCTAGCGCTTTTTGAAACTATGAGTGCATAAAAGCATACCTTCAACATAAAATTAACACACTTTGGTTAAATAAAGCAAAACATTGGTATTGCTAAATAAAACTAACATATAAGACGCAACACAACGAGTTTTACAGTCAAAGCAATGTAGCCATATAAGACATAACAATAGAAATTACACTTCTATAATAGTCACCACAAGTCTCTGCTGACATTAATGATAGCCAAAAATTGAGAACCTTTGAAACCAATGGTAGAAAGTCGAAAACTAAGCCTCATATTGAAGAGTGAAGACACACTAGCATTTTTCAGAGACCTTTCTTTAGGAGAAGTGCTAAAAAAATGACAATAAGGGCAGTTAAAACATAGACACTGAAGACAAAAGATATAAGAGCTTCAAACACACAAAAAAGCTCAAAGACTGTTGTAGCACTAATGGAATTCAATACGATGAAGTAAACTTCAGTATTTACGTAAGAAAACTATGAGAATAATAGCATGGGGATTACCATGAGAAGTTATAGCGGATTTTTGTCCAGATGCAATTGATGCTACTACAGTCCCCATTCTTTCAGTTTTATCCAAGCTCCCCTACAAAATATTTACCACAGATATAAAATTACCTCCAAGTAAAAATTCAAGCTCCTCCTAAGAGTACACCATGATAATGGATCCTTGACCTAGCCGCAAAATAAGGCAAACTCGAGGAGTATTTGGCTTTTTTTGTGGTTATTTCTAAGCTTCAGTAGGGGGAGAAATTACTCTTTATTTATTAACTTTATTTAATTAATAGAGAGCTATGATTAAAAGGGAATGGACAGTAAGGATTTCACAAGAACTTTCAGGGTTTTCTGGTTCTTTAAATATTTCTTACTACATGATTTCAGCAAATGATTCTAAACTTTATTTCGAGTACTTAGAGATAGTGAATCCTTGTTGTGGATTCCTAGTTTCACTTAAAGTTACTGGATTTTGAAATGGCATTTTTGGAACTTAATATCCATTGTTTTAACAGAAAAACAGAAGCGGATCCCCAAATTCGCATCCAAAAGATCCTTGTAAGTGGCTCTTTTTGGCCCAGGGAGTAAGTGTATGGAGTTCTATAGCAGGAGTATGCAATAAGGCCCTTTAGAGAACGATTATAAACTTTGTCTTGAGAACTCTGTAATTAGTGGATTTTTTAGGTAAATGTAGGATATTTTTTTTTCCCTTCTTTAATTGATCTCCAATTTTGCTTGCTAACATCTTGAGAGTTTAGCGAGTCATGGCGAATTGTGAAGAATCATTATTCTAATTTGAAAAACAAAATATTCAAGAGATAGAAAATAGCACTCACATTTGCTTGAATCAAATGCCTCTGGATGTTTTCTGGTCTTCCCAAGCCTAGAGCTGCCATGTTCGAGAGAGTGAGATGAAAATCGCAGAGTAAAAATATGGAAAAGAGGTAAACATTCACCAAATAAAAAGAGAGATCGATCGAAATCAGAAAAAATGAAATGGAATTCGGCTAAGAGAGACGGAGAGTACATTGCCAGTAAAGGAAAAAGATGGTACGATCGTAAGGGGGAAGGTTAATTGCTTATTACCAGTTAAGGAAAACCATGGTATACTGGACGTAAAGAGGCCTTGCAACCATGCTTCTTGGGTGTGGCTTTCTCCGTCAGAATGAACTAGGGTTAGTTGGAGCGTCCACTCCCTCCACTCTTTTCAAATCCGTACACAGAGCGTCTCCTTCCCTTCCTCAAAGTCCGTCGATACCCCAGCCACGTGAGTTGGGTCGTTAAAAGAGAAGTAGAACCCCAAAACCGTTTTCCGTTTCTTGAAAAAACACAGAGGAGCAGAACATTGGTTGCGCGTCTTAAAAACTATCATTTTAGACCATTTTGTGTGATTGTGGTTCTTCAGAGATCATTAACCTTTTATTCTCCATTTCATTTCCAATTGGCTCGTTTTATTTGGCATCCGCTCTGCTCATTTATGTATGGAAAATGGTTTAATAGGCCCGCCCTATTAAAATAAGTAAAATTTCACCTCATACCTCATCAAAAATTACCATTCAAGTCTTTAAAAACCTTTTAACGGAGGCTGCAAAAAAAATTAGGATTTTAAATTTTAAAAATAGTATATATTACAACAAATCATCTAGACCATCCATTTCGCTCTAGAAATAAGTGTTCATCGATCTTTAAGATCAGTACTGTTTTTTGAGTTTCAAAATTTATTATCGGAGTTGAAAATTAATTTTAAAGCTATCATAAAGATTTCTAATGCCGAAAGAGCTTTTTGGATGAGGACGTAGGTGAGGCTTTATTTTGTTCTCATAAAGCCTAGGCCCTATAGAAACTTCATCCTTTATGTAAGGGTGTTGTTTGTATAGAGCCGAGTCTAAACAATGAGTGAAGTGCACCTTCAAATAATGTCGAGAAATGTTGTTTCAATAATAGAAATTTTTATAATAGCCTTAAAATATATTTTCATCTTCAATTATAAAATTTAAAACTTCAAAAATAGTATAGATCCAGCATATCTATGAAATTTTGAAAATCTTGAAAATTGACGGTCCAAAAATGCTTTGCTAGATACAATATTTCCAAAACTTGAAATCTTTTTTTTTCTCATGTTCATGCATCTTGTTGTCGAGATAATCAATTTGAGGATACTTGGGCATTAAAACAATCTTTTCTAATGAAAAATTTGAGGTGGGCTCTAATTTGATTGTTTAGAGGCTCAGCTCTATATAAATTTTTTCCTTCATTTATGTAAGGGTGTGTGGTTTGTATAAGATTGCAACCTTGCAATAGAAAAAAGGTGCACCTACAAACTTTGTGATGAGATATAATTTTGGTGTCAAAATGTCTTCGAATGGTAATAAAAATTTAAATTCCACAAATAGTTCCAATCAAGTATACTCATAAACGCATGAACATCTTGATAATAGACGGTCAAAATAATGTGTTGCAAGATGCGTTATTTTTTAGACTTCTAGTCTCTTTTTTTCTCCAAATCTATACATCATGTTGCCGAGATGATCTATTAGATGCTTTCCAATATCAAAACAACCTTTTTTGAAGGATTTTAGAGGTACACCTTAATTTTACATTTTAAAGTATCAACCTTATGTAAACTTTTTCTTTTATTTAAAGGAAAAAACTTATATAAAGGCGAAGCCCAAAACAACCAAATTAAGGGGTCCGTCAAAAATTCGTTGTTTTGATACTCAAAAATTCCTCAAATCAATTATCTTGCCCTCAAGATATATGGGCATGAGAGAAAATATATTTCCAAGTCTTGGAATGTGTTGACATGGAGCATTAAATATCATTATTGTGCTTCATGTGGGTGACATCAAATCTCATGTAGATGCTGTCATACCCTTCTTAACGACGAAAAATACTCTTGTTAAAAAAATATTATATTACAAACAAGAGTATATAAGTGTCCAAAATTTATTGAGTACAAGTATAAAATGCTCTATAGTGTGAGCACCTTAACATAACCTTTTAAAATTACCTTATGTCTTGTAAATTTGAAGTTAAAATATGGGTCAGTCAGTTGTTAGAAACATCATCTAACCCTTTTTTTATTTTAAAATGCGGTCCAATGTTAGAGACAAGTAACAAATATACTAGATAAAGATACCCTTAAGTATGTGCGTATCATATTTCCAATAATGATATGCTCCATGGTCGGATGTTTTGGTACATAGCATTAGAAATCGCGAACAAAAGACATTGTAGTCCAATGTTTGCAAGATGAGAGAGAGAGAGCAGAACTACAATAATAAAAAAAATATGAAAGTATAGGACTTCAAGTAAAATACATGAAAATATGGACCAAAAACTTAATTCCACAAAAGAATCACGGTTTGCTAGAGTCCAATTATTTTTGTAGATGAAGATCGTTTTAAAAAATCTTTTGGACAAAAAAGTACTATGTGGTTTGCCAAAAAGATTGGCTTGTGCTTTGTCAAAAAAAAAAAAAAAAAAAAAAATTTGCGTACAATGCCACTATTTATCTTTGATACAAAAAGGTCACAATTATTATATTTATTTGATGTGAAATATGATACTTTAACTGTATCACAAAGTTTGAGTAAATTTCTTTTGAAGTTTAAACTTGGTCAATAGAATAAATGTAGTCATGTAATTTCTCATCAGTCAAACTTAATTGTGATTCTTGTATAAAAAATAAATGATCTCATTTTATAATGTTTTAAAAAACAATTACTTCTCCAAAACATTTAGAAAAAATTACGACGGAGCATGATGGGGGGTCAATTATAAAATGAGACATGTTGTTTTCAAATTATTGAGGGCACCTTCCTTTAGGGTTTTTTCTTTTTTTTTTGTTTTTAAAGGTTACCCTGTCTTGTGAACCTAACACCAAAACCGGGGTTTTTTTTTGTGCTTTTAAACGAAAGGTGGCTTGCGTACAGCTTATTTTTGCCTTACAAAATAAAAAATCCCTGTCTGGTGTTCCATATGCTGGGAAGGGTTTTGGCTCCTTTTTAACCCAAAAAGCCCCATTTGGCTTCTGTCCAACCAAACTGTTCTATTCTTCTCTCGTTCTCTCTTTGCCAAACTGAAGCCGAAGCGGAAGCCTTCACTTTTCTCGCTTGATCTTTTGCACCTATCATTTTCTAACTTCTTGTAGAAGCGTAATGTCTCCCTCATGTCAACGTAGAGGAGTAGTTCATACTACTTACCCAAAGTAGTAGTGCAGTTAATAGATTTATTTATTTATTTTTAATATATGAATTTGTTTGTATCAACTGTAGTTCTACTGTGATTCTGCCAATTGTTCGAGTTCGGTTCTGAGTGCAAGGCACAAACCTTTCATTTATTGATCATATTCTGTGCCACTCGAAGTCCAATTGTGCAAACTAGTCGGTAGAACCGTTTAATAGCCTGAGGACAATGTTCCTTCGTATTTAGGAAAATGTATCATGTTGGTTGTATCTTGTTTGGAAGGAAATTACTTCTAATACGATTAACATCCTTGGAACATGTAAGACAGTGTCTTGTAAATAATTTGTTGATCTGTATGTCATTTGCATGTTATTCTATTTTGAAAGATGACTGTGAAATAATGTGCTGATCTATAATAGATTTTTTGCATTGGTTATTAAATTTCTCTATCTTCTTAATGGCATCATTTTGATTTTTTGAATTGATTTTTTTTTGAAGTGGTTGAAGTGATGGTTGCTAAATTGTGATGCTTTCTTGTGATTGTTTTATGTAAGTATTGTGTGTGTGAGCTCTTGTATATCAGAAGTAATGAAAGTTGACATTTTTCAAAAAAAAAAAAGCCTTTAGATGACTGAATTTTGGATATTAAGCAGTTGGTGTTTTAATAAAGTGACACATGCTGAATTTAGATAAACATCCAATAAAATGGGCATGTTTCAGCCATCTATCCTTAGTACACCTTGTCTATTAGTGCATCCATGATCCTTACTAATATTTTGATTTGGATGTCTACAAAATACGCCATAACAATGTGTCTATCTGTAATATGAAAGATGTTTGTTAAATAATGTGCTGATTTGTAATGGATTTTTTTCATTGGTTATTATATTTTTCTCTCTTCTTAATGGCATCTTTTGATTTTTTTGAATTGATTTTTTTTTAAACTGGTTGAAGTGATTAATGGTCTGTGACAAAGTATTTTGTATAATGGTTTACCATGGAATTTATATTGATATTAACAAATGAAGCAAATCTTACCTCATGCTTTAACCCAACTTCTCATTCTTTTTATCTCTATAAATTTCCATATTTGTTGGGTTGTATTCTCTATGTTTTCATTAGGCATTCTTTTTATATATTGTGATGATTTTGAGTTTAAAGTGAAATTGGTGCACATAAGTGTGTATGTCATTTATTTTAGTATGCATGTTACCAACACATCATGACATGCATTTCAAAGCCATTTGTTGTTGTACACAGAATTCTTTTCTTTCTCCTTAAAGCCTTCAAGATGTTGCCAGTATTTCTTCATCTTGATTTCCATGCAGAAAGGTATTTTCATATCTAATTGTTCTAAATCAAAGTTATGTAAAGCATTTGTAGTAATAACAAACCAAATATATATTGTGATGTGTATGTCATTTATTTTAGTATGCATGTTACCAACACATCATGACATGCATTTCAGAGCCTATGGCACAAGAAGATGACTTGTTGTACATGAAAGATGATTATGTTTGGCTAGTAGCCGCTGCTGGGTTGGAGAGGAATAAAATTTATATTGATGAGACTTTTAGCATCATCGAACATTGGCCCCTTACAGATGAGCAGGTGGATTTGGTTAGACAGATGGGGCTATGACCTCTTGTTCAGTACGCTAACATGGAGGGGGCACCACGACATATTGACCACGATCTTATGGAGGCAGTGACAGAGAAATGACGGCAAAGATGAATTCACTGCACTGTCCACGAAAAGTTGGTGAAATGATGCCAACCTTATATGATGTGTGGCATATTTTCCAGCTTAGAGTCACAAGTGAGCCGGTATTGACAAGGATATACCCATATGGGCAATACTTGTTATGATGGTTAGGACGCGTCTCGGGAAATGATTTACTATTTTATTTTATTTTTGAAATGATTTACGATTTTAAAATTCACCATTCATTGAACTTCACTTGGTTGAGAGAGACTTTTGGGAATCTACCAGAAAATCCTACACGGCAACAAATAGAACGACACACTAGGGCATTTTTGCTATATTTAGTAGGCAGCACCATTTTCCGCAGTCGAAAAATAATGAAGTCCCTATTAGATATTTGACCTTGTTCGAGGATTTTGATGTTGTGGGCAGGTACACATGGGGGGGCGCGACCCTAGCATATCTTTTTAGGGGCCTCAAGAAGTTCGTTACTGTTAAAATTAAGAGGGGGAGGCAAAATGTATTGAATAATGTTCAGGCGGCACCCGGTCCTCACCTCACTAGGTGTGCAACATTATTTCAAGTAAACGCATTTTGCTGTGCTACTTATTCTTTATTTGTATGTCTTAAAGGGTTATGTTTTGTGAATTTCATACATTTTTTTCAGCTATATTTATACATTTCATACATGTTACCATAATTATTGTATGTATGTTGGTCAGTCAAGCATTTTAAAACATTGCGGCTAGAGGGAGGCAGTCGACGAGTTGAAGCTGGTAGACTAAGGGCTGCAAGATGGGTACACCCATGCACATGGGATAACCCAGTTGGGAATGTCGCATGCTACCGACACGAATTAGATCTCCTTGAACTTGATAGGTTATAATTGCAATGCTTATTAGTTTATATACATACTCTTGCACTTGAAAGTTATTCATATTTATTGATGTAAATTGGTTTATATATATGTTATCCATTCCTACAAGTATTATGGAAACCATTGTTGTATGTCATTTTTGACGTACCTACTTCCTTCACAAATAAGGAGAGAGCCAGTGACAACTTGGTTTTGTTGGCACTCAAGATACTGTCAGACGAAAGTTGTACTGAGAAATAAGCCTTAGTTTGGACAACCTGGGAGGCGTGCTGTCATGTCAAGAAAGGACCTTAAAACTATAGCCCTGTGCTAGCGGCTCCGGAGTAGTACCAGACCGCCGTAATCACATTCAGAAAGTCAGAAAACCCCCGAGGATCAAATTCGGGCTCAATCAAACCACCCAAGAGGGTCCTACGCCCGAATTGCCTCAAAAGGGGTAGGCCTTACGCTATCGCGGTGCGGCTTGACTGAACCAGTCCCCAATCATGGAGGCTGCGACTTCACGTTTTGGGATGTCTTCAAAGATTCACAGGGCCTTCGTCCAGAATCAGCAAAAGCTCAAATTTGGACATATTCTAAACCGCAGCAAGCCCGTCATTTTGACATAAGGCTTGCGCCATGGCGCGACCTAAAGTCAAACTTTTGCCAAAAAGAAGATGAGCACGTAACCAGAAAAACTAGGGTTTCAAGTAGAGACATCTCGAACCTCGCAGAACACAACTCGTTATCCGTGCATCTGATCAACGCAAGACCGAGTTCAATGCAACCGCCTCGCGAGGAGCTGCAAACTAATATAACTGTTGTGCTTAATCCAAGGTCAGATGAGCACAAATCCCAAGGTTACAGAAAAGCAAGACCGCTCAGATGTCGGAAACCCTCTTTTTTCGGTGACTTCCCAAATTAGGAAATGCTGCAAATGAAGGCCAGAACGGACCATACTTGGTGCAAAACGACTGTGACGGGCTCTTCTTTCACTTACAAACGAACCGAAGACTCAGAGCATTACAAGTCGAACGACATTGGTGATTGAAGTTCATGAATTTAGCCTGATTCCCACCCAGCAGAATAGGTTGCCTCAGCACGATTACAGGGCATCAAAATGCTCACAATCTAACAAACATTGAAGATATAGTGGCAAATCGTTTGATCCATCACTGCAAGTTGCTGAAAAAGCTTCCAAGACCTGGCAATGGTGGAGGCCCCTCAGAGAGCGATGATTTAGCACAAAAGGTTTTAGGGGTGTTTTGGTCATTGGGCCTAATTTTGGGATTTTACTTCAATTTATTTTATTCACAATTAAGTTTAGTTTTTGAGCATCCACTTCTGTTTGGTGAGTTCTCTATATAAACAAGCTTAGGTCAATTGTAAAAAGGCGGATTATTCTTCATTTAAATAGAGGCATAACGCTTGTTTTCGCTTGTCTTTTTGCTTCTTACCTTTAATCCTGCTGAGAAGAGAGAGAAAACTTTTCCAAGGGAGAGAAAATACCCCCCAAGTGCGCAGACCCTTTTCCTCTTTTTTTTTGACAAGTCAGGCCACACCTCGAGCCTCCTCTCTCTCAATGCGAGCGTACTCGAGAGCCCCAACTCTCCTGTCGCCAGGCCAAACACCCGGACGTCGGACATCTGTGCAGACGGAAGGTCTCCACCGCCCTTCTTTCGCACTCCTGCCTTGTCGTCAGTCAGCCTCCTCGGGGGAATTGCAGTGAAGAGGGATGATCGAGCCCCATTACAATCGCACGCACGAGAGCGAGAGAATAGACCAGTCGAAATCCCAGAGAGAGTTCGTGTCCAAACGGCGCTGGCAGATAGCCGGACGGCTATGTAGCTGTTCTAAGAGGGCAATCCGCCCGGAAGTGTCCCACGAACCCCAAACGGCGAGGTAAGCACCCGAACACACTCCTGCCATAAAATCTCTCTCGTTGTTGGTTCTTGTCCACGTCCAAGGGAGCCTGTGGACATGCACCGGCACACGTGCAACACTCGCGGACTCGTCCGAGGTTGTTTGAGAGAGGGTTTTCTCCCCCGCACGCACGACCTGCATCCATGAGAGGGCCCCTGAGGGAAAACAAGGCCTCGACCACCCATATGTAGATCAAAAAGACATTCGTGCTGAGGAGGTCCATCAAAGGGTTATAGATCGGGAGGCATTGGAGACCGCTCTTTGCAAGACCCATTTGATATTGGACAACATCGTAGAGCGGTACCTCCCAGACTGCGTACTGAGACAATTTGGACTGAGACAGCCCATCCTAGCAAATCCCAATAGATGGGAAAGATTTGAGAGGTGGGATAAAAATGAAGAAAACTGGGAGCAAAAACCCACCTCTCAGATCAGAGACTGGCACGACCCGAGTCATGGTCTACCTTCGAAGGAGTATGAAGCGTGGTACGTGCAGGTTTCAATCCCCATAATTCATAACCCACAAAACCTTCGGACAGATGCATATGCACCTCGAGGCTATGGTGACCGCATGGTAAGTTTGTATTTACATTGAATTTATATTTTATAAATTCATTTTTTTTTTTGTGATATTATCTTTGATTGGAATTGTGTTGTTTCAATTGTCCAAAGTAGACCATTTGATTGAAATTGTTGACAATGGGTTGGCGGCTCAAGACCCCAGGAGGAATGATCGATATTTTAAGGAGCTAAGGTGAGAGCTAATATTGTGTAAAGGCAAGTTGGTTGACGAAGAACAAGAGTCCAATGATGACTCTGAACAGGAGCCTGTATTAACTGATGAGCCACAACTGCAGATGCACCGTGGAAGAGCTCCAAGAGGAAGATTAGCACAGACTCAGGAGCCCCGGACTGCTGAGAGAGCGGGTCCCCGTTCAACAGCCTCTAGGAAAGGCTAAAAGTACTTGCCCCCAAAAGAGAAAGAGGACATTGCTTTTATATTGTATAATTTTGGTGTAAATTGTGATACTTTTGATAAAATCAATGTAAATTAGAAAACTCTTTTGGGTTACAATTTTAATGTAAACTCTTTTGGATTACAATTTAGATGTAAATTTGATAAGGCATTTGTCAGGCCTTTGAAATTTCGTCTCTATTTTGATGCACTTTTCGATGTAAATCTGATAAGGCAAATTTCTATTTTGATGTACATTTGATAAGGCAAAATTTCAATAAAACACTGTTCGATATTTGACATACCGGACAACAACATGCAACAGAAAGTTGTTTGGTATTTGACATACCAGACGGTTACAAGCAAAACTTGCAACATAAAGCAATCCGGTATTTGACATAATGGACAATAACAAGGCAAAGGCTGGCTGCCCAGTATGTCAAATATCAGACAATATTCCCAATTTTTTTTTTTTTTTTTGAGAAGCAGTCATTTTCATTTCAAACCCCATATACTATTACAAAACTATCATCTCTGCTGCATAAAGCCCATATGCTATTACAAAACCATCAGCCCATGTTACATTCCCTAAACACATGAACAAATACATTCAATTTGTTCAAGTTTACCGTCAAACCTCAATTATAACTGGATCTTTATACATTACAAGTTTTTCAAGTTTAAGATTTTTTGAAACCCCTGCTCTAACTGATCACTCAAAGATTATTCTCTCAATATAACCCTTGTTCTAACCTACAAACAATTACATCAATCCCATTCACTCACAACAACATTGACATCCCAATATACTGCAAACAGAATTAACATCCAAATAACCTGCTTCCCCAAGTTCAAAATTAACATTCGATTAACTTGCAAATAGTTACATTTAAATTTACATTGAAATACAAACACCATCAACATTTACATCCAAATACAAAAGTTTACAACCATAAAACACCATCAAAATTTACATCCAAATACAAAAGTTTACAACCATAAAAACACCATCAAAATTTACATCCAAATACAAAAGTTTACAACCATAAAAAACACCATCAAAATTTACATCCAAATACAAACACTATCGATAATTACATCCAAATACAAATGTTTTTAAAGTAGTCAAAAAATTGAGAACTAGCGCCCACTAGGACAATGAAGGTTGAAAAGATGATCCTGAGGCACTTGCTCTGCCCGATGTCGGAGACAGTTGAGTATTGATTGGTTCTCTGTAGCTCCTCATATTGTGGCCTACTTAACCACAACGTTTACAGACATAACCCCTGGTGGATTTCTCTTCTGTTTGCCTGCGCCGCTTCATTGGCCTTCCTGGGCATCGCTTGGCATTTGGGGGATATACAGTTCTATTAAAAGCTCCAGTTAGAGGCATCGAGTTTGGTACAGGATAGAATTCAATTGCATGGGTGGTCTTGTATGCTTGATCTCTGAAATACATCTCGCAAAATTGGATTGGATGGAGGTGACAGTGATACATAGCTGCAATTGCATGGGTACACGGCAACCCGTTGTTCTCCCATACTACAAGTACAGGTTCGACATCAAGATCTACAGCATGGGCCATCTCCTTATGGATCTCATATTTTCTGTCTACAACCCATATAACATTATGCCTGACCTTGACTTCGTAATCCGTTCATGAAGAGCTTGTGCTTTAGGCACAAGAACATCATCCCACTGCTCACCTTCCTGCTGACGTTCAGCCCATCTCTTCACTAACTTTATTCTTAAGTTTTTGCACAAAGGGATGAGAGGCATCTCATGTTCCTCTAAAATCCAATTATCAAATGACTCAGATATGTTGGATATAAGATGATCATACCTATTGCCCTCGAAGTAAGCCTTCGCTCAGTATTCTTTACCTTTAGTCTTCATCCGAATATAAGCCACTTTATCTATCTCTTTAATTTTCAACATATCTTCCTCCAACCCTTCAGTAGATAATGCATGTGCGACTTTCCACCACTTCTTTAGGAGTACTTTGCTCCTCCATTTCCTCTTGAAAGTGTTTACAAGATGGCGCATGCAATGACCTGGATACCATCCTGGGAATACAATTTTAATTGCAGTTTGCAAACCCTTATGGCGGTCATAGAAAATTGTTAGACGTGGTAAATTTCTTACTTCCTGAAGAAACGCCCAATTCAATCTATCTAAGAACCTTATCCAACTTTTAGTGTGCGCATTCTCTACCACTGCAATCACAATAGGAAACGTGCCACCATTAACATCTGTGGCTATTGCAGCCAATAAGATCCCCAGATATGTTCCCTTCAAGAACATCCCATCTAACCCTAACAGTGGCCTACAACCATACAGAAATCCATTGAGGCATGGACGAAAGCTAAGAAATAGACACTCAAATCTCCTATCTACATCGGTTTGTATGACTGATATAGTTCCAGGGTTAGTGACATCCAATTTCTCAAGATAGAGAAGTAGCTCAGTATATGATCGCACTTCTGAACCTAAGATCATTGCCCTTGCAACTTCTTTGTCACGCCAACCTTGCATGTATGATAATTGGACCCCATGATCTTGCTGATCATCATTTACAATATCTATAGGTCTGAGCGTCATCTGGTCTTTTAGTTGAGGTTTAATCCTTTTTGCAACCCGTTGGCTTCTTGCCAATGGCTAATGTGCCTTGCCCATTGGTCATTTGCATGTGTGCCCATTTATAAATTCTCTCACCCTAAAGAATTTTGATTGTTTGACTTTAGAGCACCATACGCACCAAGTGCAATCCGGTGCTCCTTTACTGTATGCATTCACTTTTTCATGATCATTTCTATGATACTTCATCACAAAATTATGATATATTGCGTAATCAACTAAGAGATTACATAAATCCACAATTGTCTCGAAATCCTGTCTCACAACTAGGTCAACCCGTGGACGTGTTGATATGAATGGGAGCTCTAAGGGCATTGTGTCGTCTACATCACGTTCCATCACAAGCTGGCCCTCGGGTTTAGACCCTTGCATTGCATCTGTATTACTCGATGTAGGGACGTTCACTTGTACAGAAGGGTAGCTGGGCGAAAAAATTTCAGGCAATTAGTAGGTATCGATCCACATGTAATTCAAATATAATTCGAATTTATCAAAATATAAATATTGAAGGTCTTTCGTCACACATACCTATCTCTTGTTGATGGAGCAGATGCATGAACGAAGGGCTGATGCTCCGCTGGATTTGGTTGTGATGGTTGGTTTGCAACACATAGGATTATATTGGAGGCCACCATCAACATACACGATACATCCCCATCATCTATTAAATCAACTAAGTGTTCATTTTCTTCATATATAATTTTCAAATTGTTTGGATCAGAGCTCAATATAGACCCGATATGAACTTTGAATTGCTGTAGTGAGTCGCCTCCCTTATATACTGCGGCTTTTAAGTTACCACATTTATAAATTGTCTGTCTGTCATACTCGTTACGCTCAAAATAACCACCATGGCAAACCAATAATCTAACTCCACTACTGGCCATGAATAAATCTGGTTAGCATAATTAATATTATAAGGTCCACATAATTGGTATAGTTTTCTTACTTCATAAGCTCTAGCAACACCAGAAAACGGCAAAAATAAAATAGATTTAGCATAATCATAAATCGTATGCTATAAATCTAGATTTGGGGTTTTTTCCTACAAGATTGCATAACCTTAAATCTTCTAGATGGGTGTAGAAAAACCCTTTACTATTGGGTATTTTCCATGACCAACACTACACTCATGTATGAGCATAAAAGATTTTTTTATTAACAAAGTAAAATAATATGCAATGATTGAAGCCATCCTACTACATTCAATCAATAAAAATCCATTAAACCCTAAGATTGAGTTCATTATTTGATAATATTGTGTATTTGCAAAAACGGCACCCAACTTAATATTCAAGGCATTCCCGATCATTCTTTATTTTTATCTATCAATAAACATTCATTATCGATTCAATTGAATATTCAACAAGACCTAACAATACATATTTTCAATCACAAACAAATAGAAAAATGAACATTAATAAGTGAACCAAAAATCCTAATCCGCCATTTACAAACTTTGGGGTTATTTTATCCCCAATACCCTAAACACCCAAATCCCATTTTCAAATCTAATCAAATAATAATACAAATATCCAAAAACTCTAATAAGATTTTTCACCCATTTTGGGGTTATTTTATCCCCGAAACCCTAATTCCCAAATCTTATTTTCCTTAAAAAACAAAAAATTTCTAAAACATACCTGATTCGATTGAGGTTTGAGAATATTGTGCATCGAATTGACTAGAGATTGAGCGTAAATAGTGTTGGATTGGGCTTCGGCTTGGCAAAGAAAACGAGAGAGAAGAAGAAAAAGGCAGCAATGTCTGGTAGAGCAGAGCAAAATGAGGCTTTTTCGGCTAAAAAGGAGTCAAAACCCTCTCCAGTATATAGAATATCGGACAATGTAAGGCCAAAAAAAGTTTTTCGATAATTCGAATACCGGACAACTGCCTTTCATTTAAAGGTACAAATAACCCAACTGTGTGTTAGCTTCGCCTTTAATTTAGGAACAATGTGTTCCCATTTTGTAATTGAACCCAACATGATCCGTACGTAATTTTATTAAGATTCAAAGACAAATTTCATTGGCCACTACACTCAAAATTGGAACACATGTTCCAAGTTAGAGGTGGCAACCCCCTCTCTGAACTTTTTTTATCAAGTTATCCCAATCCGATAAACCGAACACCGAATTATCGAATTAATATCTTTTGATAAGTTTAAACAACGAAAAAATGCCGTCGAACGTTCGAATTACGAGACAACTGTTTTAAGTTTCGTAAGTTTAAAGAGAGTGAGGGGGCTCATGTGACTACAATCCAGTAAAGGATAGAGGGTTTTTGGAGGACTCCATCAGATGCAGGCTTTCTCATGGCTTAGTGCTTGGCAAAGCCCTCGCAATCAACCACTTGTGCAAAAGTGATATAATCGGTGCCAAGGTATCTTGCAAACAGGGGGAGAGAGAGAACAATAGTTTTGGGTTTTGAGCGATGTGAGATTCTAGAGGAAGAGAGAGCAGGGGATCGGCTGGTTTACAGATCTACATAGAAATATAAAAAAGTATATGGGTTTTGAGGGGTTTAGGATTGTAGAGGAAGTGAGAGAAGAGATTGGCTGGGCTAGAAGATGGGGAAGGAAGAAATCTGCAGAATAAACTTACCCTACCCTAAATTAGGGGATCTGTTTCTCTCTCTACAGTATCTGGTTTGGTTAATCGCTGCTATATGTCTACGATTTGCCTGGTTTTTCTTCTGGCTATGCTCTCTGCTATGAGAAATGCAGGTTGATGGTTGATGCCTTACACAGAGAGTGGAGAGATTGTCTCTCGCCCATGGTGGGGTAAATTGGATGACGGGAAATCGGAGCGTGTAAACTGGGTGCCGTATGTACGGAGATGGGAGGTGGAATGGGTTTTGTAGAAGTCCTTGGTTCGATAGATAGATCGGTCTTTGCTTTTCTAGAGAGAGAAAGATCAGAGACCGAAAACACTCTGCGTCGTCCTCTTAATCTCAATCTCTACATCTCTCTGTCTTGTTTTTAAGAGAGAAAAAGAAGACTGCACTCTTTCACTCTCATCTCCTCCTCTCTCTTTTTGAACTCTCCTCCATTGGAGTGACCGGCTTTGGCTTGGGCTTGGGCTTTGGTTTCATAGCTTTAAAGAAGTTAAAAAGCCGTTCGGTAATTTAAAGACCAGAGAGCTTCTTTTCGTTTAAACATAAATTCAATTTGGTTTACGTCACCCCTAATTCGGAATAGAAGTGTTCTTAATTTGAAATTAACCCATATTACCCGTACATAAATTTGTCAAATATTTACTGGTTAGAATGGAGAAGGGGACCCATGTTAAAACTTGTTAACATTTACCAGCTTACACAAGATATGAACTTTTTGTGCAGCATTCGAAAACTCATCACGTCCACTCTTTCCCCTCTTCTACTCTTTCTTTCTTTCTCTTCTCTCCCCCTCTCCTAATTATATATCTCAAAATTGAAGTCTCTTCTCGTCCAAGATTATTTACACCGAGTACAGAGTCAAGTTACAGGTCCTCTCTCCTGGGAGATCATGGCGACGATAGGAGGCATGGACAAGCTCTTGAGCAACGGCATCAGTACCCTGTCTCTTGACCCATTCATCCTCCCACCCGATCAACGACCCGATTTCTCAGATATCTCCTCCGATGAAATCCCGGTCATTGATCTCAGTCATACCAAAATTCTCCAGCAGATATCTAATGCCTGCAAAGAGTACGGGTTCTTTCAGGTCCTCTCTCTCTCTCTCTCTCTCTCTCTCTCTTCTTCTTCTT